AAAAGACTTCAATATGGTATATATGCAAGTACATATATAGTATATATTAGTAATTCAAGATTGAATTATTTAGGCAACGAAGATCCAACTTCGACCATAATAGGCATTTTAAATTTATAGTATTGATTGTGTTTCTCACATATACGTCTAAAATAAAGATATTGTTTATAAAAAAAAATGTCCGGGTTTTAGTTGTAAAATCCGGGGATTTAGAACTCAATGTCCTAGGTTAGTGATTTTACAGATGACAGCCCTAATTTCACTGTTCATTAAGTTTATTCTAGTTTAGATGACGCTTCTTTAAAAGTAAACAGTGGAAATGTTTACTTAAATGGATCGTATGACATTTTTAATGCAAGTAAATATTAATCTTGATTATAACGAGTTACGAATCGAATTCTTTTCTGGAATGTATTATACGTCTCAATTTAATACGTATTTTCATTCTCCGCGTTACATCAATTCGCGTCGCTGTCGGAAATTTCTAAAAATGCTTCTACAAGTCATTACAGCCGCGGTATGCAGACGCACGGCAATCGGTTTCCGTTTGAATGACTAAAATTCAAATCGACATTGAAATTCCATTTTAGCAGGCTTATCTTAATTTTTCGACACATGTGCGCAAACAAGCAGCGTGGATGTCAATACGCGCTCGAATGTCTCAGAACGGTTAGGATTGACGTCGGAAGGTCGAGTAACTTTTTTTATTTTTTCCAAGAATAACGGTTAACGGTTAATGTGGAGAAAAAAAAGGAGATATGAAATGCGGGTCACTTCACAGAGTGTTTTTTATGACTGTTTTTTTACAAAGAATGCGCTACACGTTCGCGAGATGAATCTATGTTAACTTAAACTTAAACGACAAGATTAATAATATTATTAGCTGTACATGCGCATAACCAGCAGACCGTAGTAGCGTCGCAGTTAATAAATAATAACGATTTTTTGTTTTTAACTCGTTTGTTTGCAGGCAATACATTCGGATTCGATCTTTCCCATGTATACTGATCGTAACGTGCGAATCTAAGTGTTACAACGATTTTATTTCAGTTTATTGCCTTGACTTTACTCTCCTCCATTCGGAACGACTGTCACTCGTTACATCAACTATAAATTGTTGGTAGCAGTATCTTTCTCTCTCTTTGTCTCTTCTTCTTCTTATCTAAGGATGAACCTAGGAATTCTATCGTTGTAAAACTACGAGTAATAACATTGTAACTCATTGTCAGTGGTAAGGCAATAATGCGGCGTCCTGCGTCGTCGTCGTCGTCGTCGTCGTCGTCGTCGGGTTGGTGATGTCGCTTTCGTGGAAACGTGCATTGTCGCACGAAGGAAAGATACGTCCTGGGATACGCTGGTCTACACTGTTAGAAATTTCTCAATGAATTTTAATTAACATATAAAGGAAGCATGTGGTTATGGACAAAATTAAATGTAATGAATGATGTAAATAAAAACTAAATTACAGTAGTCTTAGATGTGATGAACGTATGTATTGAAATTAATGAACATATTATTATAGAAATTAATTTACACGTCAATGAAAAGTATGAGATCTGTAAAAAGTAATTTACGTTAATGACATGTAACAAACGTAAACGTATTAAACGTTAAGCGTTAATAGTATTAGGCTTAATTAAAATATTATTAATATTCGTAAGTGTAAAAGTAAATTAAATTTCAACACGCTTAACTTTTATATTGAAATTTAATGTACTACAAACTTAAATTTCATTAATATGTACATTAATAGTGATTTCAATTACGATTAATTAAATGTCATTTACATCCGTAAATGAAAAGTATATTAAATTTCATTACACTTAATTTTTCAGTTACTGTAAACTTAAATCTCATTAACATGTGCATTAATAGTCCTTTCAGTTACAGAGAAATTAAACTTCGTTCACCAATATACATTAAAAGTTAATGAAATTTAAGAACATTTCTAACAGTGTACGTTCGTGGTTCCGCTTCCCAGACTGGTGTTTATTATACCATATGGTAGAAAAGTGGAGAGAGATTAAAGAATCTTTTTTGCGAAAACAATGTAAATAAAAATACTTTGAAGTAACAACTTGAATTAAATAAGACCCAAGATACATTATTGACTATTACGGATTGCATTAATTTGTACAAAAATTATTACAAGAATGCACAACAATATATAAAATTTAGGTATAATAATAAGTAGAGTTCCGACCGAGAAACTTTTGCCGAAACTGAACCGAAACACTCGGCTACGTGTCAATTTCAACCGAAACTGAAACCAAAATTAAAAAATAGAAACCCTATAAAGGCCATATGTATAGACATATACCATATACTTTTTCTTCATAAATATCATAATTTATTGAAACTAATTAAATTTCGGCCGAAATCGAAAACCGAAATTTCGGTTGTGTGTCAATTTGGCCAAAGAATATAAGTACTACTTCTTCATAAACATCATAATTTAATTACTGAAACAATAATTATACATATTAAAATTAATATTTATAAAAAAGAACTATATGGTTTTAGTCGAATCTGACACTTAATGAGTGTTCGTTTTCAGTCTCGGTAAAAGTTTCGGACTTTAATAATAAGATAAAACTATACATAACACATCTGATTTCAATACTCGTAACTCTTTTCTGAAAATATTAAAAATATTGCTTTGAGATTCCGTATTGCATATACATATATGTCAATATTCCACATGTTGTAGGTAATATTTTTTAAATTTACCATATATGCGTAAGTTATAACACTGGAATTTAAGGTTTTTCAGATACCTACCCGCGTATTCATTGATTTCACGGAAAGCCGTTTATGCGGAATTCGTGATCTTCTAATCGGGAAGCATTATTAGTCGACAATACCTGCTCTGTATATAAAGGCAGGCGAATAGCTGGGGGATCGTTACTGCGCCACAAACACGAAGAAAACATAACTTCGTTGTCGGGATCGTTGCTTATCCGGCGGGATCGCGTAGGTGTTAAAGCGCGCGGTTCTCGCCCACTTGAATCGATTCCGAATGGACAGCACGCTCATTCCGTCTTATCGTTCTGTTAACTATCGCGTCGTTAAGGAGACCGCCCGTCGAAAATTACAGTCTACCTGTACATTTTTCTATCTATGCATTTCCTACAGTGTTCAAAAAATTCAAAAACGGTAGGAAATGCCGGCAGAATCGTTCGAAACTTTTAGTTTTGCGAGATTATTATTTAAGATTAATAATTATACTCACTTAATTTATTAAAATTGTGTCTTCTCCCAAACCTTAAAAAGTACGCAAAAAGTTGTGCTTATAAATATATATATATATATATATATATATATATCTCTACGTTTTTGAGTTTGTTTTTTTAAGAAAACTATTCTATTCATATATATATTTTTTTAATTAATTAATATCACAACATATACGATATATTTATATATATGTATGTAAAATTTAAAATGAGAATATTTACATGTATCTTTAATTCAATTTATGCACACTGAATATCTTGCTTATATGTTTGAACTTAATTTTATTTTAAAACTGTTTTCTCTAAATTTATCAGCTAAAATTAAATAAAATATAAAGATGTATTTACAGGTGAAATTATAAATGCAGATTGAATTGTCACGTATGCACTTGCTTATTTATCACGTTTAACCGTGAGGGGACACGAAGTCAGTGAATAATTGCGGCTCATTTTCACGAAATTACGCGACGCGATGCAAAGTGCATTAAAGCGTTGCTTAATCAAAAGGCGTTCTGCATTATTTCATAACTGGACGAATCACGTTGACGGCGGGTTGCACAACTCACCGCTGCGCCACGCCGATGCATTTCACGCGACACGCGCGAACGCAATTCCGGCATCGCGTTCAATTGCCTCGAATACAATCGATCAATAAATATTTATGAGCGACTCGAGCATGTCTCGCGACGCGACAGATGCACGCCTGCCGATGTTTTACGTCGATGACGTCTGTTAGGGACTGCAGACGGGATGATATTATGTGTTCGACACGCATAGTAAAAGATTCAATTTATTTAATCTTTTAAACTATTTTAAAGTACGAAATGCTGAAATAACAAGAAATTAAAAAAGATCTCAACACAAAGTAGTATTTTTGTTATATGCGCAGCTTTCTTATCCAAATTTCTGTGAGATTTGATTATGTACACTTATCTGAACCATATCTCTATAATTTTTAAAATTTTAATTTTGATAATTGTAACATCTCAAAGATTCCTATACATCGTGACTCATATTTATGACTAAATTCGAGCCGAATTTTTGTTTGGCTAATAGCATAATTTTTTATGTCGTACAATCGGTTTTAAAGCTCTTTTTTTAATATTAACTTCAATATTAATATTCTCTTAAGAGACGTTACATTGTATAGAAGGGATGTACTTGCCGTTACCGGAGTTCTCTTGCGGCGCTTATTTACGAGCACGTTACACGCAATGTTAATTCGACAGATTTCATCATAAATAACGCCCATGTATACCCACACGGACCAGGTATATATTTATCTCACTCTATAAAATTCATTCCCGCCGGATGTACCGCAGTTTAGGTGATGGCTGAAATTTATGAACGCAGGTTGTGGAATCAACGCGCAGCAAATTTTGAACGCGTTCGTCCGGCACGGATATTTTTTTACAGTCATTAAAGACAATTTTATGTGCGTGCGCAAATAGATACAAAAGTTTTCCAAAAAGGCTAGTTAGTCGTGCGTGTATTCCGAGATGTAAAAGTTTCGAGCAAAATCCCAAGAATTTATTTAAATTTCTGATCTTTCAACCATATATTCCATAAATGCGCGACTTTTTCTTTAGAGCACGGAAGGATTCAGAAGATTGATTTCTATTTGCCCCCCGAGCATCTAAAGAAATAGAGTGTCTTACATTCAAACACGCTGGGATACGAGTAGAAATACGTCAAATTAAATCCGATTCTCGGTTCTTGAATATTGCTTCATAGCAATCAGTCGTTTTCCATCGATTGTTTCAGGAGAATGGCTGTCTGTACTCGCACATACGGTGGGGCGAGGCCTTCGTCGTGGTCTACAGCGTGACATGTAAACGGAGCTTTCAGGAAGCCCGTGGACTTCTCAAACAACTCGCAGATCTACGCCTGCCATCCTATTTTACCGCCCTCCTACTCGGCAACAAGAGAGATTTGGATCATGCACGGTAAGCGTAAATCACACATTGTTAGAAATATGATTAACGGTTCCCCGCGTAACGGGCGGGCGTGTATCTCCGGTTTCTCATGACGATCTCTTGACTGATATACGACCAAATAAATCGCACGCACACGCATCATAAAAACGATATTTATTAATAAATCAGTAGCTGGACGTAATTTTTCGCCACTTCATCGGCGTGAGAGAAGCCCTTTCGGTGTGTCTCGAAGCTCGTTTACCGCGCGTACGTATATTATATATAATTATAATTAATAATCGTTCTTTCCGAGGTATAATTTATTAGTATCTCCTGGATTCTCTTGCAGAATTCGATATTATATTACCGTAGTTATATTTCAATCTGCTGTTGAATAATCGTTAATAGTCTACATGATACTTGAATGCAGCTGAATATATTTTTCACACTAAATAAAAGTAAAAGAAAAACAATATTTGAGTGTTCGTAAGTAATGTTGTGCTTATATACATGGCCCATTTTTACTTATGGCTTCGCAAGTCTGACACACTTTGTCGATTGTCGTCTTAAGGTATTCTCACACAGTCAATATTTCTGACAATAATTTTTTCATTAAGTAGATTGAAAGTATATAACTTTCAAAATTTTAATAGTGGATTTAATGAAAGAAAGGTCGGACATTAGAGGACGAGGAACAATATTCCCTCGTACGAAATGTCTTCTCCCAAGGAGAAATTATACCTTTGGTTCGAATTTGTTGTAAAAATCAAGATCGATTTCGCACGCTTTATTTAACATATATCATGTCTACACTGTGAGAGAAAAAGATTTATTAAATCTTAATAAATATTTCTTTTAATAGTACTAACTAAATATATTTACTTAAATGATGATCAAGTTAAATTAATGGTTCTGGTATCATTGTATAAAAAATAAATGTATATTTACATTTATTAAATATTTATTAAAATTTAATATACTTTTCTTCAGTACACGATACTAAATCCCATTCTCGTGCGGAAAAAAAAGCGGTTTTGCTAAATATCTAAAAATTTAGTTGGATACAGATTTGATAATAATTTTATTGGACCATTAGAATAATTATAGGGAACTCAAGCCTGATGAGAGCAATACTATAAATTTTGACAAGCAACAATCTTGAGCGCCCTACATAATTTTTTTTTGATGACCCAACAAAATTATTTTCAAATCTGTAATCTTGTTAAATTTTTAGACATTTTAGTAAAACCGTTCTTTTCGTGCAGAATTGAGATTTCTCGGCCTGCAGAGCTCATTCGATTGCCCGATACGAATCGTATGAGGGCCGCTTAAGTGGCTCGCCCGACGCGACGCAAGAATTACAATATCATTTCGCGTCGCGCGATCGGAGATCGTGCGACACAGCTTCATGTATCGCCCTCGGCGGATCGTCGATTATTCGATCGTTCCTCCTTTTCTTTTAACATCGCATTTTATCCCAGCTGATCGCACACGTGCGCGTGTAAGTACGTGTGCTCGGCCTCTATTAATCCTGCAGTTCACTTTCCACTTACGAGTAACAGGATCCTCGCCGGCTGTTTCCTAGATGAGATTTCGCACGTGTGCCACGCGATTCGTATTTTTTCAAGCAGTTCTTTATCGGGTTGTCTCAGCATGATTTTGTTGTTTTTCCTACACTCGTTTACCACGCTCACAATGCTTACTACTACGAATTGTTTCTGTGTCTTATCAAGAGGAAAACGAGGCATTTTATTGGTCCTTCATGTTCCAAAGTATCCTTAAGGAGGTTGTAAGGCAATTGCAATATTTAACCCTTGAACACCACACTGGTTTACGGTAACCCAGTCCGTTTGAAAAAATACCGCGACGTTTATGAACGGTGTGGAGTGGGAGCAACGGGGGGAAAAACTTTCTCTGTATTGATGCATTAGATCCCGGGATAAAAGCGGAAGAAGACTCCAGGGTTACCGTAAACCATGTGTAGTGAAATCAGGTGGCGAAAATAGTGTGGTGTTCAAGGATTAATACTCAATGATATTTTTGGCGTAAATCCAGGATCTACCTTTCGTCGACTACGTATTGGAATCAAGACCTAAACAACTAAGGTCTAATTTTAATCAATTTTTGTCGTTGTATTTTTATAATTAGTTATCTTTGTTAGCCTATTTTTGTCAACCGTTTTTATATCTATATATTAGTTTATAATTTTAAAAATGACCCGAAGAGAGTCGAAACGTTAGTTTTATGTAGACATATTTTTATCTTGTTTTTTTACTTTTGTTATTTTATGTCAACACTGTATTACATTAAAATTTGTTTTGTTTTAACTCGTAGCTCTTTTTAGTATAATTTCTTTTATTCAAATACAATATGTCAAGAATTATTTGAAAAAATTACAGATTATTCTAAATTGTATTTAAAAGTAATACAAAAAAATTAGAGACAGTTGACTAAAAGTTGGATCAAAAGTTGTTTCAATAAAAAGTAATATCTTTTAAATTTGTACTCTAATAGAAATATATGAAAATGTATTATAAAATAATGATAAAAATCTAAATTTTTGTATACAAGTACTTTATGAATTCAAAAATATTTATATAAAGTTACATTGAGATGCAGACATTAATTGTTCAATAAATAAATAAAATATTTATTTGTTATAAACACACACTAATTGAAGCGAATCTCAATGAAATTTTGCATAAGTCATTTTTAGTATTTAAAATATGTATATAAAAACATTTAGATTTTTATTATTTTTAAAATTTGTGTTTCTAACAATAAAACTAATATCAATAAAATAAAATAAATAATCTATAACAATGCGTTGTTCAATAAAAACAGAATGTTATGAACACAACTTTCACATGTATGTAGTTTGTTTAAAGTGTAAATATTAATATGTGTTTTATACCCTTATAACCTCCCTTAAGTGCGCATAGAAGAGACTTATGTAGTTAAATTATACAAAATCTTTCGAGAAAACATTCGAGAACTGAATATCTAAATCTTCTAAGCTGTATGGTTCGTTATTATTAATTCTTATGACTTCTCTCGCATACTCGTATATATTTCGCGTCCATTCACGAACTACTGGAATTACTGGAAACTTTTCATACGACGTTCTTGTTTAAGAGGTTTTTTGCCGCGCGTGCGTGAGTTTCTTTTTTTTATCGGTACAGTGCGCGTTTTTTTTTCGCAAAAACCAGTTCAACGAACCGAACGTTCGATCGGCCACACGATGACGGAGTAAGTTAATCGGCCGGCTGGCACGTCAACTCCGGCGAGCGATTCATCCAAGTCGGTCAAGCGACTTGGACAGGTAAACAGATCTGGCGTGGCGAAATATATATATATATATACATATATATATATATATATATCGCATGAACGGTTTCTAGACGCGCGACGAACGACACAAACACTACCGGGTACCTCTCGAATCGGCGGCATCCGATACTGACACTGCGGTCTACGCTTAGATACCACGTGTCACGTTTCACGCATTGCCGTCGAGAATTCAACGGTTCGACAAGTAGGGTAACTTCGGTATATACGCCGCGGAAGTCAGAAAAAATAAAAGGAGTGGGGGCAACTACTCTCTGTTACATGCCTTTATGTTATACTAGTATTGAGTTATAATTTCAGCTTCTTATTAATATTAATGTTAATATTAATGAAATTATTGTGAGTTGAATCGATTTGTCACTGTAATAAGTAACACCATCATAAATTATAATCTACGTAAAATTATTACTGTAAGGCGTGTAAAAGACCTAGTGGTTATTTCGTGATACATACGTGTAGAGGAATAGTAAAGCATGTTGTATATAGAGCAAAATACAAGTGCTTTGCTTTCGTATTTTTTGTTCAGTTTGTTGAAACTCTTGCATTTTTGCCATATATCCCACCCATTATCTATATATAGCAAAAATGCAAGATTTTTTAAAAAAGTTTATTTTTTTAATACGAACTAAATATTTCGAATTTCTAATATTTTTTTCATAATAGTAGACAGTACAAAGTATTTACTGATATAGTTCGTTTATTTTAAATATAATAAATAATACTTAATAAATTAAGCTTTGATAGGTGCGGCGTATATACCGGAATTAAATTAAAAAAAATCAATCTCATAAATTTTTACTATAAAATTTATTAGATGGATTTTTTTTAATTTATAAAAGGAATATTAATTTTTTAACGATACTCTAATTTAACAAACTGCAATCCTGCAATTAGTGATAATTGTCAACGTGATCAGCTTCTATGAAACGATATAATTTCTTCGATATATGAGTTTTCATATAGTTATATTCGAACGAAGAATTGTGGAAAAATGTATCTTGTTCAGTAAAAGATGCGCGATACAAACAAGTGTAGCTTGTGTGCGGTTTCTTGGGCGCTAGTATATTTTGTCGCATTTTATACAACATTTTATACAATGGCTTCAAAGTGCGTCATCGACATTGCATGATTCGGGCGAGAGAAAGCTAGCAAATACAAGTACGCGCCGTTTTTGCTTGTAACTTGTATAATAAAGAGTGGCGGCTCATTAGCCTTGCTGAATCGGTTTCTCATATGTCCGCTGCAGATAAATTAATAGGACAGTGATGACCGTGCGAATAAATATTCGAATTTCTTGAGACGCACTTTGTGAACTTACCATGTCGTGGATTCACAGATCGATGGTTTTCTTTCAAACAAGAGAAGCAAAGAAAACAAAAAAATATTTCCTCTTAAGTTTGAGTTCTCTTAGTTTAGCTGATTGTAAGTGAAATGAAATTTTTCTCGAGGAATAAAATTTCTTTCAATAATAAAATATATGAATAAAAGAAATATTTACGATTGTACTTAATTATATTAATATAGAATTTTATAAAATTGTTCAAGTAAAATTTTATTTAAGATTAAAATATTATTAAAACTTAATCAACACAAGGAAGGGGGATAATTAAGAAGAGGATAACAACTGTGATAAAATAGGGATATAGGAATCAGAAGGGGATTCTGTGTCTCATTTTGCCTGT